CAGGCTCTGGATGCAAAAGCTTGGCGCTACGTTTCAGGCTGGCCCAGGGTCTCATCATTAGCGCGGCAGTTCTTTGAATTGAGTGGTCGGGCTTACCTGTTGCCCACTCACTGCCAGCTGCACTGCACAGAGGAGCATCACAGTGGAGATCGCTTCGTGCTCATTGCTTCCTGATTGGGCAGCACCGACAGTTGCCCTCCCAACAGCGTACAGACCTGCTGGACATGGGCTTTTATGCCACAAGAGGCCGCTGCGCCAACACATGCAGATGATCTGGAGCCCCAATCGGTCGAGTATGTTGACTGATGACCACTGATTCTCTCTTTAGTTTGGGTTTAGCACCTCTGCCTCAGGTATAGGGGCCGGGGTATGTGGGGTTCCCCAATAGGTCCCCTAGCCTCTTTTTGCAATGTCTGTGCGCCACCGGCGACTGCCTGTATAGCCATCCATAAGATGTTCGTAGTCGTTTGTGGCGAAGTGGCCCACCATGCGCATGTCGCGCGCATCTGCCAGCTGAAAAGGCTTAGCGCCAGTGCGAAGTCTCCACCTGCCGCCCCCTTTAAAATTCAAGTCAGTGTTCGTTCATAGCTACTCACCGCTGAGGTCGCGCATTTTCCTTGGCTGCTTGGCCAGTTCTGGCGCGCCAAGGTGCAGCACCTGAAAGTGAACATGGCGAAATACTGTATTACGCGTGGCTGTGCAGTTTTTTTTTATGGGGATGGACACCGCCGCTGTTGCTCCACTTGCAGGGAAACTCGAGGTGTTCAGCATACTGACAGATGCCTTGAGTGTCAGGAGCAGCTGCGGCTTTTCCCTGGAAGGATGCCTAGTCCTGGACCTTGTTTCTGACTTGCAGATCCTTGGTCGCCATTGATGCCTCGTCATTGGAGCTTGCCAACTCCTGGATCATTGGAAAGCTTTGAGAGCTTCCAGTATTGCAAGGCAGTTGCGATTCGCTGGGAACGCGGATTGAGCAACATGGCTCACAACCCTCCGGCACTGCGGTTCGCCACTGAGCTATTGTTCAATGTCAATGCTCCTGACTTCCTTTCACCCGACATTGAACCCAGATGCTTGGGCACGATTGTGGCCCAATCGCACACTGGCGACGCATGCCGCATTGTGCAGATTGTTCCCACTGCTCTCTGAAGATACTGGCTTATTGGATACATTGCTGAACATTCCTGCTGCCGAGGTGAATTGACCATTGTACTCCTACCTCAAGCACCATCTCAAGACGGCAACGGTCATTGCCTTTCCGGACAGGGAGCACCGGGACATTGTTCTCACTCCCTCGCTTACAGCCAACGGCTATCTGCCATTGCAATTCTTGATTGCATTGCCTCTGTGTGTTGCTGAAGATTGGATCCGAGCTCTCAGCTATGGTGACATTGTCCGGCGGATAGCGCAGAATGACTATACACTCGCGATTCAGAAAAGCAGTCATTCAATACATGACGATGTGTCACCCTGACAACAACATCAGTTCCAGAAGAAGCCACAATGGAGTTTGTTGCAATGCCCTTTGCGCATGATGGCAATGCAAATGACTTGCAACTTGTACAAGGTCAGTCACTGACCAACTCCACGCCGTCGGTTTGGATGTCCAACGGACTCAATTCGCGCCACTTGTCCAGAGGGAATGACAGTGGCGGATTCGCTTGCTGCTTGCTTCGTCAATATGGACGTTGTTGGCATCGTGATCCTCAATGACGTCTTGATCAAAGTACAGTGCCTGAATAGTCCAATCGACAATTTGGCAGGGAGCCAGAATGCCGCGAGTCTTGCAAGCAATCCCACGTGGAACGGGAATGTGATGGGCAATGCACCAACGTGCTGACGAATGCCCCGGCTTGGCAATGTCGTTGAACCGATTTGCCAGTGCGCCACATTCTGTGCAATGCAAATCCGAACAGTGCAGGAGGCAATGGCAATGGCGGTCGAGAGCCACTCTCCGCAATTTGCCGAATATGCTCTTCGACTTCCCAATCGGCGCGAATGGCATCGCTGGCACGGCACCAATGGAGCCAGCCTTCATTGTGCCAGTTCGAGTAACCGCTCAATCCATCCTCCCTAGGGAGTGGATCGAAGTGCTCGAGCCCATGGGAAGCTGAGCACTCCAATAGGCTCACTCCACAATTCCGAGAAGTGGCCCTGTAGCAACCAATGCGTGAGCTTGGTGAACGGCAATTTTCGTAAAGCAACGTGCCTGGCAAAGAGGCAAGTGGGATTGCTGATGAATCTCGCATTGTCACAAAGCTACTTAGCTATTTCAAGCAGCGATATTGCTGATGCAATGTTGAAGCAGTTGTGCAGCTCATTGTTCGGAGGTCTTTCGGGCTTGAGAGGATTGTGAATGATTGACCCCAGCAAAAGGCCAACTTTCTATATTGGCAAACCATTGGTCTGTATAGCTGTAAATCGCTACGTCCCGAAGTTATTGGTTGTCTTCTTGTTTGCTGTGCGTTGTTTCGTTTGTCGGCACACTCTGAAGTGGCAATGATGTCAGATGTGACAACTGCACTCCATGCATTGTCAACGGACCGTGTTAGATTGAACCACATCATTGGTGGCCTTCCCTACAGACTTACCAGTGGATGCCACGGTTAACACTGGCTCAAGTCGTTGTGAAAACATTGAATTGAATCCGAGAGAGTCCGGATTGCAAGGGATCTGATTGAATGCTGAGCATTGCTGCTATGCTGTCAAGCGAGTACCAGGTATTGTACAGATATTGGTGTCGAAATTTGTTTATTCAGGGGGTAATTTTGAAGTACCCACCTTGCCCACCCTAGGGGAAGGGTAGCCTGAGGCTAGCGACATTCTCCAGGCGGCTAACTGGGATTCATGCCACATCCATCAAGAAGGCGAGCATTGGCGAGAGTGCTGGTTGTGTGACTTCTCGTTGTCGTCTCTCGGCTAGCTCACTACTCTAGCTAAACTACTAGTTACCGGGAGGTGCCTGGGGAAGGTGGCGGGTCGGATAGGACGCGAGTGCACCTTAACGCAATTTTTCGATGTTTGTGTCAAAAATATTCTTGATTTTTTGATCCGTCACCCTGAATCTTGTCCTTTCAGTTCCGGGCAAATTAGGCCACTTTTGAGCCTTGACCAAGGTGGGCAGACTTTTACTACCAAGGGCACATCTTCACTTGGTCAGCCATGGGTTTCGAGCGCATCTTACAGACTTTGATCACGTCGAATATCCGTGGAACGGCGAAAGCTGAGGAATCACAACGATACCCCCTCCCGTAAAGGCGTCGGGACCCCAGCTAAAATCTTATGCAAACATGTTGCATTCGCACGCAGCGAGGAATGGCGGGCGCAGGCCGGGAAAACTGTGCTTGAACATGAACTCAGCCGTGTGGCAGTACTGCTTCAAGGCATGGCGATGCCCTACAAGTCGGCAAGAGATGGAGCCGATCGTCTGCGCGAAGCAGGCGCAAAGCACGCAAATTCTCAAGCCAAGCCGCCAAGTCGTACGCTTGGCGTTGCCAGGTCGCGGACTGGTGGCCGTATAACAGCCCTCCTCCGCCTCCGAGATTTAAGTTCAAGCGGAAAATGTAAAGTGTTGCTGTAGTTGGGATCCCTCAGACGAAAGCGTCTTCCAGCGTGTAGCAGCACCAGCCTGCGGCAGTTTGTTTTGCTCGCAAGCAGCGAGAAGCTCACTAGAGTACTCCAACTGCAGCCACATGGTCCGTCTTTCAAAAAGGACAGACCGCGTGCACACATGCAAGGTCAGGCGTTCGTACCCCAGAAACTCCATTGAAGAAGTGGGCGTTAGGAAAACTTTTCTTCGTTCCGTGGCTTGTTGGTTTTTCTGCTTGGTCATTTGCTGCCTGCTTGGTTCTAGAAATATCGTAAATTGCGATGCTGTGCATGTATCACGTCTCACAGGAGGCAGGTAACGTTGTAGTTGCAGTTACACTTTGACAGAAGTTTGCACGGGTCGCTTGGCAACACGTCTCTAAAGACTCTAAAGCTCCTATGTGTTTTGACATCGCACTCATGTTGCTTCGTGACACGTGAGACATGGAAGACTGTTGCAACGACACTTCCAGGGCAGAGCAAGCATCAGCAAGATACATGCCGGCATTTTGCGTGTCTTGCCTTGGAGCAGTTTTGCCTTTTCAAGAGAGGCAAACTTCTGAAGCATGATTTATTTGGGTTGTTTGCGCAGTGTTTCACGAGGTTATGTGCTGCATATGACGTGTAAGGAGGTGTAAACTAGTAGTGTGTCATGGTCCGGGTGCTTGCTTGCAGGTTCGCAAGTCCTACCGCCGCGTCTCGAATGTAGATGGCTGCAATTGCGCATGCGTGGCATCGTCCGTCAAGTGCCAACTATTTTCTCCTCTCCGCAGGAGGCTTTGATAATGTCCCATCAAAGCGGTCTCTCCTTTGTGCAAAAGCGCCGCGCGTACCTTGTAGGGTTTCCAGAGCACAACCAAATCATGCGATGAGGTGAACACAGGAACGCGAACTGTTTCACACAAGTCATGAAGAGCCTGGAGGTCTTTTGCGACCCGACCGCAGCTGTTGTAGCGAAACCTCCGAAGCTGAAATATCAGCATCGGGGGTTGCACATGTGAGTGCAGTGCGATAATGCTGAGCATGCCACGATGCGGCTAGTAGCCAGCAGACAGCAGAGACTCGATTAGCTTGTAGAACACTCTTCGCCAGCTGTCGCGCTGATGGTTGAACAGACTCCTCGCAATGGCGGTGACAGAGCGTCGACAAACGGTCATGTTTCGGATTCCTTGGAAACTGAGCTCTCTTGTCTTTCACTTTGGCCCCGCGAACTCGAGCTACAGATGTAGCATATGTTCGGTCAAGAGAAGAGGCCATGCAGCCCTCCACCATTCACCAACTTGAACCCCGTCATCTTGAACCTCCCTAAACCACGAGTCACTGGTCCGCAGCTTACAGTCTACAATTACACACAACTAGCTTACTGCTGCTTAGAGCCATCGGAATCGACGAGACTTGGAGCAGACAAAGCCATGGCGACGGTGCAACTTCCCATGACGATGGAGGCCATGCACAGGATGGAACAGAACCGTGACAAATGCAAGGTCTTTGCACCTTTTCGAGGCGCTTGTCGGTGGCCTGGAGACAGAGCCAGGAAGCGAGCCGCACTTCTGCCCAGCCGGCCCCCAACGGAAGAATCCTCTTTAGACATTTTTGGAAGCCACATGCCACAAGGTCAAAGCTCTGCCCATCAAGCGAACGCATCGTGTGCCTTGGCTATGCCAAGCTTTTCGAAATGACTCCACAGCTTTGCTCTCAGGTGCGGACATTGCCAGGCTTTCACCTGCTGTGCCTCGATGCAGGCAAGGAGGTGCCTTGGCGACCATGAAACTCTCGGCCGGACAGCCCAATCAAAAGCACTTGTGCAGCGGATAGGTAGTAAGATCTCGCAGGTTCTCGCAGGTTGTGCAGACTTAGTGTCCGCGCGCTGCACTGCAGCCCAGGCCATGGCGCGAGGAAGCTACGAAGCCTTCGGGCAACGTTTCCACTGCGAAAGTCTCGAGTACCTGCACCAAGATGACAAGGCCTCCAGTACGTAGAGGTCGTCGATACGGACACTTCCGTGATTCTGCAAGTTGCACCCCCGTCTACATGCTTTGCCGAGAACTATTGCGAGGTCTTTATATGCCCACAGGACCAGAAGGCCCGCAACATCTGCATCTTTCATGCTGCTGCCACTTAGGGCTTAAGCCGAGATGCCAGGCTTTTCTGAACCAGATGTCCATGCGGTATCACCAATACATCAGGCATGAGCTGCAGGAGCTGCACTGACTCGATGTACAAGTTGTGCACAAAGTGCGAGGGCACGATGGCAAGACAGTGTCTTGAGGAGCGCAAAGAGGAACGGAAGCGGCTTCGAGAGCGTGCTGAGGAGAGTGGGACCTGACACTTGCGGGATGCTTCTCACTCGTTTTTCGAATTAGTCGGGTAGAAGATGACCTCCGGGCAGGAGAGGAAAGCTAGAGCTGATCGGCATCGACAGCAACCCGACAGCCTGTCAGCAAGGCAAGATTGAGCTCTCTTACGCATCATTTCAAGTCAAAAGACTCGACAGCGATTCACTCAGCAGCAAGTTGCCCATGTGTGGCCTGCCATGTTCTGCCACCTCCGGGCAGAAATTAGATGGAAGAAGGAGCGATGGAATGCAACAACAAGGTGGAAAGCTGCGAGGCATTTTTGAGATCGAGCCTGCAGAGGGGCATCAGCGAGATGGCAATCAGAAGCTGCGCACGCGAACGTTATGGCTTGATGGACAGTTCCGAAGGCATGGAATGGTCGAATGGCAGAACGCTGCAAGCCCTCGACCTTCCACCGTAGCTATGCCCCTTCTCCTGGCGTATCTGACATAGGAGGTGTTTCGCCTTGTCGCTTCGCAGTGTGAGCATCAGGGTATGATTCCGAAAAAGTGGGCGACTTATTCATGAGAAACAGCTTCTAGATGCTTCTAGCATCAGGATGGCCAGGTAATCCGAGCATGAGAGAGGCAGGCGGCAGGAGAGGAACAGGAAGAAAAGGCTCGCCAGCCAGAGAGTGCATGACAACGAGGCTGCTGATCCCACATGCCCTGAAGCGGAGCTCGAGGAAGTCGAAACGCTCCTGTGCTCAGTGCAGAGCAGGCCAATGCAGTCGATCTGCTGTTCCAATCTCTCGCAGTCAGAGTTTTCGAACGTGGACCTTTTCAGGAGGAAAATCCCAGAGTTGGCAGATAGGCTTTTGTCTATTGGCGAATACACGTCAAGTCACCCAGCTGTGCTTACTAGGCACGATATCGTGCCAAATTATGAGGGCGGGATCGGGCACCGGTCATGGTGCCGAGAGGTTCTCAGCAAAGAAGAGAAGATGTTGCTGCCTCTGAAACTGGGTTGGCTCCGGTCAGTAAGGCTTGCTTGCCCGATAATGTCTATCATGTTGTGCCGGTTTCCTGTTGGGGAGCACAGAAAGGAAAGCACACGACACATCACGACACCTGTAAGTCACCTTTCACTGGAATCCATTCGCCCTTGCACAGCATCTGTGAGGGCAGTCGTTGCGGACCCGCCTCCCGCGGCTCCCGCGGCTCCTGCGGCTCCTGCGGCTCCTGTCCTTCCTGACCCAGGCAAGCGGCCTGGGTCGCATCTCGCCTGGCAAGATCGCTGTGCGCACAGGCTTGGAGCGTCCCAGTCTCGCGTCCGACGTTCCCGAAACGCCACCGCCAGTCATCAACGAGGACGGCCACTGCTGAGGGATATTGAGGGATTGCGAAAGCGGGCAACGTTGTGCAACATGTGTGCTTGCCACCTCTCCTGTACTTGTGCCCGAGTCCCGAGCCTTGATTCGGCGATTTCGTTGGGGATCGGATTCCTAGTCCTAGTGTGCCTAAATTGCGGGTCTGCTGTGTGAGCTGAGGACTTCCCGGAGGCTGGCGGGAAGGGCAGTCTTGAAGATCACAATCAAAGTGTCTATGTTTGACGCAGGTCAAGTTGCCAAAGCCGAGAAATGAAGCAGATCCAAGGCATGCCCTTTCACAGTCGAATTGGTTGTTTTTTACTTTTTCCATTCTCTCTTTCTCTCTGAACTTCTCTCTGTCTCTCTCTCTCTCTCTCTCTCTCCCTTTCTCTCTGTTCTCCACGATCCGTTTCTCGTTCAGGCTGGCCTCCACGCCCGGCTGCCCAGGATGAGGAAAGCATCCAAACGTGATCGCGGAGTTCTGGTAGAGTGCTCTTTGCGTCGCCCGCTGCTCCACGTCGAAGCCCGGTACTTCTTTGACGAGCTAGGTGCATCTCCCTATAAAGAAGGACTTTTTTGAGAACCGCTTCGCAACAAGCACTCTGCTCTTCCAGCCCCCCCGCCCCCTGCCATGATGGGGGGCCCGAGGAGCAGCCGCTCCCCGGCGTCTGCAGTGACCGTCCGAGAGGAATGCGCAAGCAGTGCAAGTAGGGGGCCTGCGGCGCCGGGAGAGAGTACCAAACCAAAGCATAGGTTAGTTGATGCTTTCATAGCAGTCTGCATGATGATGGTTGGTTCGCGTGCCGACGTGAGCTGCCTTGCTTTCGCACGCTTCTCCTGGCTCTGCCATAGTATGGTCGGAACCGTTGCGCAACTCGAGCATTGTTGCGGACTTGCATGGCCTTCCTTTGGAATGCGGACGCCCTAACCCCCTCGCAACTATGATTTTTTGGGTCCGCGGGATGTTTTGTTCAAACATATTTTTCAATTTTGGCGTGAACTACTTGCAACTTCAGATGATGAGAAGTGAAGGGCACGAGGGCAGGAGCAAGTACGGTGATAACCGGTCAGGAACCTGACAGAAATCTGCCGAGAAATGTTGTGGTGTAGCACGCGCATGCACGCGCAATGCGTGCAGGGGACATGTCCGTCGAGCGAAGCATATGCCGCAGCTATTGCCGGCCTTGCGTCGCCCGACAGTGTCAGGCGGAGCAGCGGAGGGCTACATCGACTGGGGCGACTTCGGCGACCTCAGCTGGCACGTCTCCTGCACGAAGGGGGGCGTGCATGACCGGACAGACCGGCACCAAAGGCAACCCAGCGGTGACACGGCAATGGAGCGGGAGATGATGATGGGTCGACCCTCGCTGGGACTACATGACGCCGACGACGGCGGCATACGCCTGCATACTGGACAAGACATACAAGACGTGCACACGCGTGTTGGTGCGCCTGCCTTGGCTTCTTCATTGCAGCGATTTCACCATCCAGACTCGCCGAAGGCCGTCTTCAGCGCCACCAACCGGGACGACCCAGACGGCGAGTGCATCATCAGCTTCACGGCGTCTCCGCCGTGCCAGGTCTTCTCGCGCATCGCCAGGGCGGCGGGCCATGACGGCGACCGGGGCGGCCTAGTCCTGCAGCACTGCAGTCCCGCCCCGGCTTTGGTGGATCTCCGCGGACCTGGCAGGACTCTCGGTGGATCCGGCATGTGGCCGGTCCCTTTTTTGTGAAGGCAGGCTCCTACCGGCATTTGCGCCTGGACGAGTTGCGGGCTCACAGACACCTGCACCATCGGCGACTTTTCCGTCCACCGGCGGCTTGAGCCATGGCGTGACACAGAATTCGCCATGATCCACTTGCTTCTGGCGGAGGTCATATGTGGTTACACACATGGCTATGTGTTTCGGCGCAGCCGGGTGTGGAACTTCAACCCAACGACGGATGAACTGCAGGCGCTTCAGCGCGTCCGGGGTTGCAGACGAAACCGTCGAAGACACAGTCCGCCCGATCTGGGGCGACGGATGGCTGGAGCGGGATACTTGTCGCCGCACGTTGCGAACCGACTTGCTGGCCGGCTATGGCCGGCTCAACTTCGTCACACAGTCCACCGTCGGCGCGGTTGGGAAGGCGGCGCCGCTACAGCCCATGTACGTCTTCGGCGACCTCTTTTCTCGTTGGGTGGGACCCTGACGTCGCTCGTGGCGCTGCTTGCCAACATCCAACCGACATCGACGACGGCGCCCCAGCGGCCATCATCTATGCCGACGCCTTCTGCCAGCCCGTCGAGACCAGACACAAGGCCGGGCACTTCCCGGCGGAGGAGACGGTAAAACCCGGCACGCGGCTGGGGCCATCGGTGCCCGCATGTGCCCACGTCTTCCGTCCTCTACGACTGTGGTGGCGAGCATCGTCAAGATCCTGGCGAAAACGATCGGCCCGTAGCTTCGCCGATCACGGTGCCGATGCGCTGGCAAACTTGGTGTGAGGGCCTTGCTGGTGCAGAGTGGGGTTGGGGAGCGCCGGGCACGATGCTCTTACCATCCAGAAACAGGGTCCGTTCGTCGTAGCCTTTTGGATTGTATTCGGGAGTCGGACTTGTCCTCTTCGACCCCCAACCTTCCAGAGCCTGCAAACACTCTGGAGAGTGCAATCGGCTTGGCCACAGCGGACAACAACCCCCGCCACCGCACAACGCAGAGTCGCAGACCCATGGTCGCAGTTACGCAGTTTGGGCACACGTGCGCACAAAAACCTTGCAGCATCTTGCAATATCTTGCATGTTCTGACCGACTTGCATGTCTCTGGCCAGCCTGGCCCTTCACCTACTGTGCGCCCAGCCTTCAAGCCTTCTCAACTTCCCAACTGAACACTTGGCGTTCTACAAGCTCCTAGCACCAAATTGTATCGGCCATCAGGGTCACGGCTATGGTCCGCGTCAGATGGGTTTCGTGCGTGCAATGCGCTGTTGATTTTCGTATGTCGGTTGTGACGTGGTCCCTTTGCGTGGCGACATGCTGCATCTCAAAGACGTGGCACAGCTTCGTATCTCCTGGCCGGCCTGGCCCCAGCTAGGCTGCCGCTGTGGCCATTCTGGTGTTCGCAGCTGTGAGAACAGTTAACAGGGCAACATATGTGCAGAATTCCACGCCGCTGGTAGCTTCGCCATATTTGTGTACTCGTGGCATGTCAGTACGACGGCGTTGCTATCACGCCGTCTCTCGCCTTCGCTCAAACCTATCGATCGGGTTCCGGGTAGTTTCAGCTGCTTTTGCGTCGCAATGTGCACCATCCGTACTTGGTGGTCTGCTGCAACATGCTTTCTTGAAAAACGCTTCTGTTCTTGCAGTGAACCATTGCGAAGAACAGTGCAGTACATCTTGATGTTCACTTCCTATGCATGTGCGCTTCAGACAAAGGGTCTCAACCTGCAAAATTCGATGTGCATCGGTGAGCACCAGTTGCGGCATTGCAGAAACGCACGAAAAAATGTAGTCCACGGTGAGCGGAGACCAAACAAGAAGAACAGGAGCAAGAAGGGAGTTATGCACACATGCACGGAGAGAAGAGGAATTCTGTCACGACACACTGAGAACCACGCCTTGCACTGTGTCGCATGGACAGGACACTAGACTCTCACACCATGTGCACGGAGGAGGGAATGAAACCCTCATCTCAAACCGCACAAGAAAGCTTGCATTATGTTCGCAACCTCCAATCAGGCTGATGATTGGACTTGTAGTCCGTGGCAAGGGGCAAAGCGTGCAATGCCGACGATATTTTGCAGAAGAAAACTATCATGTCCACAGACTTGCTTGCACAGGCTTCGTCAACCAGCATAGTCCAGCATTGTTGAGAATTTTGAGCAACCTGCAAAGACCATCTAAAGCTTGGCTCCACAAGACCTGCTTGGGGCAGCAGCAACCAGCAGCGACAGAGCTGCATGCATTGCCTCGTGAGGTTGACACCCCTTCCGGTCCAGACGCCAATGACACCGGCGAGCTTGGCTAAGACCATGTGTTCTGGCAAGTGCAAAGCCGCGAGTGTGAAAGCTCGAGAATTAAGCGCCTGCATGCGAGTCTGCTGTTCTTGCATAGAGTGAGTAAGTGAAGCATAATCTACATCGTAACATTCCATCGAGATCAAGGCCTTCGACGCAGAAGCCGCCCGTCGATGCAATAGGCTCAGCAAGTTGCATCTTGCTGGATGCACAGCCCCAGTGCCGAAAAGCAGCTGTGTGTGTGTGAGAGAGATGGAAGTTTTTTTTTTTAATGCTGCTTACATGCCCAGGACGACCTCTATGGTGATCTCGGGGGAGAGCAGGTGCGGCGTGCTGGGTGTGCTGATCTGGTCTGCGTATGAAAGTTGCGAGGAGGGCTATTTTGCATGCCGCATCCGTCGCGCTAGGCGAAGAGACAGAAGACTGGCTCCGCCTATGCCAGTGCGATGACGGCGATGATGACTGGAGACTTTGATGACGACGACTGAGCCTGGACCAGGCCGCGAGACTCTGTAGGATTGGGCACGACTTGGCCATACATGCGCCATTCAAGCACCGACTACCAGCGATTTCAGCAGCTTGCTTCACGCTTTATCACGCTTTGACTTTCCGTGTAGCCCTGTGTCCTGCCGAGCAGCCAAATCCCTCTAGTGCTCTGTGACTTCGTTCTGGTGCTGCCATAAGCTGGTTCGTGGGTTCGGGAAAACCTCCACCCACGCCTGTGGCTTTGCGAGCGACCCAGCGCACACATTGTGATTGTGGGATGGCTTCGTGGAGCCCAGGCCCACAGGCACCACGACCCTTCGTGCCTTTCACATTTCCTGGCAAGGGGCTCAGAACTTGCCAGCCGTGAGGAGCTGGCAGCATTCATGCACACATGTTTTGCACTGCTCAAGTTCAGCTTCCAGGTGACGAAATACCCTGCACAATGCTGCTGAAACTGTTTGCCGCCTTTGCCACGGCTCATGTTGCGGCTGCTTCCGATGCCTCACTGGAGGATTGCATGCAGCAGACTGGACATCACTTCTGAAGTGTCTGAGTTGGGATCTTCTCTACGATCTGCCATGCTGGTGTGTCTCTTCACGAGAACTCTTCGATGTCTTGAGTGTGGATTAGGAAGCCTCTAATCTAGGGAGGTTCACGGGGGGCGGTGCGGAGCTGCACAGAGGCCATCGCGTTGTTTCTGATGTTGCTGATGTTCACGCCGGGCGGAAACCGAGCACCCGGATTGTGTTGTAGGGATTCCAGGAACTGTTTCTTGGCAGTCTCTGGATCTTTCTCTTGATGACTTGCCGCGCTCAGGGGACTGACTCACTTGCATGTAGCGAGGGTCGGTGGACTGGCCAGCGGCATCTATCGGCTCCAATTTAGCGATGCTTCGACACTGCCCTCTTTCTTGGTGTGGGATTCTGTTTGTCGTGGTGCCATGAGTGGACCTCTCTGCTTCACGACAGGGTTGTTCAAGCAGATCAGCTTCTGCAAGTTCGAAAATACAAAACGGTCAAGACCAAAAGAGCCGGACCGAGCCGGAACGAAACAACTGACCGCTGCACGATCCGGGGAAAAGTTGAAAGTGCGAGCAGGATGCCGCGCTGTCTCTCATACAGGGGCATGCGAGGAAGATCGTCAAGACCAAGGTGGGTGTTTTTTTGTGGATGAAGGTTGGCATCCCTTCCAGCGCCTTTTCCCCAGGGTTCGAAGCTTGCCACACAACTGTCGGCGACGGATGTGTGCCTCCAAGTGCGCAGAATATACAACTGTTCGGCTACAAGGTGATGCTGATTCGAGCTGTTGCTTGTGAGTTAAGCCGGTTAAGCCAAGCAGCGCTCCTCAGGCTTTGGCGGACTTTGAAGGTGGAGCAGGATTGTCCTTGATACAAGGCCCTCTGGCAGCAGGTTGCACACATCGTGGCTGTGGGCTGCAGTTGAATTTGACTCGTTTTTTGTTTTGGCTTTTACCGGTGTTGAGGCAACCAGTGCCGACTTAATGCCGTGGCCCTACTTGACACTTGCCGCCTTTTCTTCGCGCTGATCGCATGAAACTCGGGTGCGAATCGCAGCCATGAAAGGGTTTGAATGAGCCACTGAGCCTACAAAGCCCACATGCGGACAACTCGGACTGAATCCAGGGCCTAGGCGAAGCACAAAAAACTGCCCCAAGCGAAGCAAAGTCTATTTCCGTTGGAAGTCTGAGCCTCTCGCGATGTTCTGAGATGCCTAGCAGAAATGGCAGCTTGCCGCACTTGCTTGAGGTTGACGAGCACTGCGCAGCACCAGCTGGCGCTCGAAGAGTCCGCATCCCAGATTTGATGAGTTTGCATACTGGAGCCGTGATGCACACTTTGGAGATCTTGTCTACTTCAGGTAAAGAAGGCCGCTGATCCTGCCCTGTCTGCAGCGGTAGCTGATGGTATTGAGGACTGCAGCTACATGGAGATACCTTCATGTCAGGCAGCATCGGCTACAAAGCCTCGACACTCCGATATCGGAATTTAGGGCTCAGGGATTGGAACCTGCAGCATCACACAAATCGTACCAGCCTGGAGTTCGCAGGGTTCAGGTTTTCAGGTTTGGGGTTTAGGACCTGGGATTTAGGAGTTTTAGGGTTTAGGATTACATTGGCTCCCGTCACGCCCTCCCAAAAAATTGCAGTCGCAAGGAGACGCTGCGACAGGTTTAAGTACAACGTTGTCTATCTTGACGGTTGCATGACGTCTACAACCTTTCCCTGACCGGGCTTGGTATTCAGCTACACGATGCGCACAGCTTGCAGTTCAGGGACCATGGTGTAAGCGTAAGCCTTCGCATGCATGCACAGAGGCAGCACACAAGGTAAAGGCAATACTAGCAGCAACTCTAGCCCTGCTCTGGCAGGATGGTGTGGCTGCTCTATCACTCTTTCAAGTGACCCGTGGGTCGTGGCGAAAGGCCCCGTGATGCAACTGGCTTGTACACTCTGAGTTGATGTGCGGCGATTGGTCTCCAATGTGCAGCTCTGTAACCAGACAATATGAGCCGCTTTTGGTGCATTGATCCTGAAAGGGCGATGAATGCCACGGGTCGGTCAGAGACGTCGTGGCGGATGAAGCGACGACAGACCAGGCTGCATGTTCGTGATCGACTTCCGCGTTTGGAGAGTTGGTTGGCCTTCTTTCACAGCTCCCCTTGTGGCTTACTTGCAGGCTGCGGACTCCGCAGCGACATCCTTAATTCAGCAAGAACGGAGCAAAATCAAAGTCCGGAGAGCCTCCGTGGAAGGCTGGGACTCGCCTTTGGGAGCTTTGGTCAATGGATGTCTGTGTTTGTTTTGGCAGGTTCCTGACTGAAGCCGGCTCGTCGGTCACGGTGATTGCTGCGAGGAGCGAAAGGAGCGATCGGAGCTGTCGAACCAAAAGGAGGCTGCGAAATTCTTTGCAGAAGATGCGGCACGCAGAACACGCAAGACTCCAAGCACCATTTGCAGGTCCATTCCGGCCTTCGCATGCACCAATTCTATACATGTGAAATGACCTATCGGGTCTATCCCGCATGTGCGCGTATCGAATTCGCACGCAAAGCTCACTCAGACCGAAAGCGACCAAGAGCAGACTATCATCTGACTGGCCATGACTGGCCTAAACTGTCTTTTCCAGGATCAGTTGATGACCTCGTGTGCCGCATTGCGTTGGTCTGTTTAGCCGTTGCCTGCCGCTGCCGCCGTTTAGCCCGACATAGCGTGCTCCCCTTGACCAACCAGGCCGGATCAGAATCGAAGGCTTTCGCATGTGGACATGGCAGCAGAGCGCCCGCATGCCCTTTCCGTGGCCGAAGGCTTTGGAAGCCGGCTGTAGGATGTCTTGGGTGCGCGGCAAGTCGGGCAACGGGCCAACCACCTTGCTCACTTCGAGGATGATTCCTTCGAGCGTTCGTTCATTGCAAGCTGTTCATGTCTTGCCCTGACTAGCTAGGAGTGTTCCTGCTGAACTTTGGAGTGAAGATGACGCGTGTTCCAGTCCGGAGAGAGGCATCGCTTTGGAACGTGCGACGGCCGAAAGCGGTCAGATTTTCTCAGCAATTTAGCGTTTCTGTCGGAAGATGGCAGTGTTGAGACGCTTAGCCTCGTTTGCTTCATTCATTGTGTGTCTGTCACAGAGCCAGATCTGTGTAACGCAGGATGGGTCCAAGCTGACATGAGTGCAGGCTTCGTGCGTACGCTGAGTGCCGTCGCTCTGGACACGATGGCACCAGTGCAACTGGAGGTGCAGAATGTTTCCATGCTTCGAACACGTCGTAGGATTCCGAACACGTGCCCTGCTTCAGGCTCTTCCGGCGCGGGCCAAGAAGTGGGCCGTGAAGCGCCGCTTTTGGAGTGTACTCTTGCTGACTGTTGCGGTGTTTCAGCCGCACTAGGACCCGGACTTGGCTGGAATGGAAGATCTAGGGAAAGCGGGTCAGCAAAGGCATGCATTCAGCCACACAGGTGCTTTTGGGTCTCGAGCGGCGTCTGGGTGGACAGGCCCTTGTCTCTTTGGGAAAGCAGCCACCGTGCCACATGGAATTCTCGACACTTGACACCGGGGATCTGATGCGTTTCAGTGGGAGAAACATCAACTCGTGAGCAGTCTCGTACGCCGCGTGATCTGTGCTGGAGAAAAGCAGCCATCCGTGTGTATGTGAAGTTGTGTTGAGTCTGAGTCCGGGTGGCTTTCTGGAAGAGTTCACCCCTATCTGTCCGCTGAATGTGGCCTCCATTGTGCGACCGGAGCCGGCATTGCCCGTGCCCCTGTCTCCTCCATTTGGAATCCGGGGGGCAGACATCATTTCGACCCCAAGCCGGAAACCAAAAACTGCATACGGAGCCGAAAACCAAGAGTGAAGCAAATCCCCAACCCAATCCGGAAGCCGGCCGAAAACCCAAGGAGTGAAGCCAACCTGACGAAGCCAAATCAAACCGAAGACCGACAACCTGAGGGAGTGAACTTGGAGCCGAAGATCATGGAACCCCAACGCCCAAACCGGAAGCCAAAAAACGGCAGGAGTGGATCTGCAGCGGAAACTGTAAGGCGCGAATCCAGCATGAAGAATATGGCGAAACAAAGCTTGGAACCCGCGACAGGTCTGAAGGGCACAAGTCACGAAAGCTAGCTCCTTTGGAGCTTGCGGGAGTTGTTGTTCACAGATTCGGTCTTGGGTCCAAAGAGAGTTTTGGGGCCCTTGCTCCTGAGATTATCTCCGATCAATTCGGAAGGCAAGGCAGGGGGCTCGGCCCCGCACCCCCGCCTCGAGGCACACCTCGCGCCTCGGTGCAACAGTGCCGCTATGATTCGGCAACATAGCCGCAGCGTACATCTGCACAACTGAAGACAACGACTGTTTCACGGTCACTGGGCTTCGTTTCCAACTTGTTGATGACAAGCACACGCATCGACGAGTTTGTAGTAGGAGGCCAAAGTTGTTATGGTCTCTTGAATTGAAGAACCCGCTTTGCCATGCGGAGTTTAGCGCATGACAGAGCATGCGAACTCACTTTCTCTGTCAAACTTGATTGGATGGCCGCTTGCATACTTATACCTGAGCCTTCCGACAAGTCTGTGCGGCGATAGAAGCTTTCGCCATATCAAGAAAAACACCAAGTGCCACGCGAGGTCCTACCTCCCTTTGCAAGCGAAGAGTGTGAGAGAAGCGGTGGCGACGCAAGAGCAGAACCTCTAGGTGAGGTTAACCCCAACAAGGAAACCACAAGGAGAACAAGCATCCAGCAGCCTTAGCAGAAACGACTCCTCTCCCGTCACTGAAGAAGCAGTTTCAGCAAGTTGTAGGCATCTTGTTTCCTCTGTATTCTTGGCCTGTCCTAGTCTGGCCAAGTTAGGGTTTCTGCCTTTGTCGGCCTTAAAGTCAGGTGCGTCGGCTTTGCAAGGTTGTCCCGGCTTGCTCTGACATGCCAAGCGCGAGAGCAAACCTCAACAGGTGTCGGGCTGTGTGTTGAGCGCTGGATTGGGCAGTCATCAGGAAACATGGACCAGCCGTGCCCTGTGACTGTCCGTTGTCGAGGGACATTGCCATGTGCTTGACAATTCCCTTACGATCTGCAGGCTGTGCCGGGAAATCCAGAAGAGGCCGTGTGACCAGGGAAGAAGCCAGGGATCATTGAGCCTTCAATTCCCTCCATGTGGGCATGGTGCCTTTCAAGTTGCCGGAGACGGGATTTGAGGCCCAAACAGAAGAGGGCAGGTCCTTTCTGAAGGACCGCTTGCAGCGCTTCAGCATGCTCCAGCAGAGCATTCGTCCTTGAGCTCCGCTTCAGGGTGGATCTGTCTACCAGAACGAGTACATGACCCTCTGGAATGCAAATGAGGTCCGGGCATTCCGGCCCTCAAGCTGGGTTCATGCCGGGGGATTCGGCCGGGCTGGGCTGGTTTTGGAATTGGCGGACCAGGGTGATGTCTGGGCTGGGCTGCTGGGCTGGGGGTGGGTGGGCTGGGCTGGCAAGGCGTGTTGTGGAGAAAACGGCGTGGGATTCGCTGGCACAGTGCTGTGGAGAGCGCGTTCAATCTCAATTTCGCTTGCCATCTTGACAAGGAAAGATGAAGCAGTGCCGCAAGCGTACGTGGTTTCAGTCTGAAAACTACAAGATGGACAAGCAAAGAGCAACAAGGATCACTGTCCTCATGTATGCCACCCAACAAAATGTGGATGCACGTCGCAGCAGCAGTGGTGTACTGGATTACTACCCGGCAAGCAGCGCTGCGCAGATGTGCGTTTAGTGGTTTTTCAATCCATCACAGCTGCACCGCCCGCAATAAACGTGTATGCAAGCAGCATTGCTCTGAATGACATGTGTGAATGAGGCATCAAGAACTGTAAAGCTGTGTTTCATTGAATCACATGCGTCTGCAAGTCGTCAACCTCAACACGAATTTAACGACATGTGTAATCGAGTCGTCAAGCATATCCTGAAAGACCAGGCCACACTGCGCTGAACGAAATTGCACTGCACGTAAAGCTGCATGTGGGCAAGTCGCCACAGCCTCACTGCACTGAATGAAGTACACAAAGTCGTCACAGCTGCACTGCACTGAACGGCACGTGTCTGCAAACATCAAAACCGAAATACACAGTCAGGTCAGGTCCTAAACCGACGCGTTGAAATTTCGCATGCACGCGTAGCGGTACCGGCTAGGCCCTTCGGGAGTCATGTAGAATCGAATCATCATGCGCAACAGATTGGAAGAGAGCCTGAAAAGACAAGCAACCCCTAACCACGTGCTCGCATGCCCTTTGTTCGTTGACATCGAATGCCCTCAGCAGTCAGTCGACAGCTTGTTACCGGCAGGCACGGTAGGTACTGTACCATGAGCATGGCGCTAAATTGCATCTCCAATCCGTGGCACCCACTGCGCAGAAGACGGTATCTGACAAGACACAGTCTCTGTGAATGGAGCGGAACTATATGGACCTGGACAAGAACGACTTGCATCGTTTCAGCTCATGCTGGATCTTGAGGTCCAGGTGTTCGCAGCATGGTTTCAGATGCCACAGCGACAAACACAGCGCTTTCGTAAAACACTCGCGAAGCAACTACAGCACTCACCATCAAGATTTTTTGCAATGAGCGCTTTCGCCTGACCATGTAGCTTGTCGAACCTTGTGCCGAAGAGGTGTGCATTGTACTGTGCGTTTTCTTACACATACAGGTCGGCAGTCACAGTTCACATTAAGTTGAACACTCCCAGATGCCACAGCGACAAACAACATGCTTGAGTAATGGTGTCATCAGAGCGTGCCACGGAAGGACATGCATGCGCCAACAGACAGCTGCTGCGAGCAGATTCGTGGAATTACTCTACATGTCAGACTCAACTCCTGCGTTTTCGTAACATTTGCGTGAATCAGCTTTTCGTTCCGGAGGTCGCCATTTCCGCTACCCTTCGAATGCTGGACTGAATTCTGGCGCTCACTCAAAGCAGCCTCTAGCTTTGTCCTCGTTGCACAATGCCAGACTGCCCAGAAATCGCGGCACAGGACTCCGAGCATTTCGAGCTACGCATCGACAATTTGGACTCCAAAGGCTGGTGAAGAGACCTTGCGACAACTGGGCTGCCATGCTTTTGGCTTGCCAGGTGGTGGCAATCTCGGCTGGCCGCGGCCTTTGTCCACTAAGCATGTCGAGAGGAGCCGAGACGAAGCAAACCCTGTCTGCATGACTGCTAGTTCGTGGCCTCGTGGCTAGCATGCTTATGAAGCCCTCTGTCACTGGTCCTCCCCGGGCCTCTCTTGCACTCGGGCGTCAAGCATCGGAGAAGAAAGCCTCAGTTGGCCCAGACTCTAGGCCTCTGGGAGCAGTGCCGAGTCAGCAACACAAGATGGAACAACCTCTCTGAAACCAGCAACGGTGCTGTGAATTGTCAGTTACCCTCGTCGATGCAGAATCGCAAGATGGCACTGAGGTTCGCTGTGACCGGTTCATTCCGGTTGGAGCCAGTGGGAGCTGGCAAGCTCAAAATATTGCCCGCAAAAGGGACTGCGGGAAAGAGTGATATGGTCGAGTTCTCAGCTTATCGCGGAGGCTCATGAGGCTCCCCACAAGCACGAGATAAGCGTTGTCGTTCTTGGATGGCAGAGTCATGTTGACAAGCGTGGGGTGTTGAGCCATTGCGCAGTCTCGCCTCCTAGCATGGATGTTCCGCTTGTGCTCCAAGTGCTTCCGACGTAGGTAAGGATGGAGGTATGCATGTATGATGTATGTTAATGTACGTGCCCGAATGTATGTATGCAGGTTTGCATGCATGCAT